CCGGCAACCGCCGGAACCCTTTCCCTGCGTAAGCTTTGCGTTCCTCCTCCTCCCCTTATCCTCCCTTCCTCCTCCACTGCTCTCCAGCTGCCACTGCAGCACCTTGTGGAATGACGGAAGTGTGCTAAGTAGGTGTTTATATAGCCTGGACAATCATCCATTACAAAACATTGATAGCTCAATCCTGCGAGCTACCCAGATTTGTTAGCGGCCTGTTTATTCCATTAGCTGCCTTATCACTCACTTCATTTTGCGGACGGACAGACGGCTATGGTTCACTAGGACAGAGAGCATTTTTCAACGCGAAACATTTTTAGCTTCAAGAACCTCAGGTCCGTCGCTGATCATGAGTGGACCCGGAGTTCCTGCAGCGAAAAGAGAAGCGCGAAAAAGTCGCTTTCTGTTCTAGTGAACCACACCCTGGACATACAGACAAACTTACAAACAAACCGATACACCAAGGTTGTGATATATGTAACAAAGAGACAACAATTTGCGGAAGCTTGCTGGTTTTTGCCCGAGTCAGTCTTACCAGCTCACCTACTCTCATGGAAAGAGAGGCTTGGATTGTCTAGGCGATGAGATCCTATGAAGTTTATCACATCACCACTCTGACTACGCATCTTTGCTCTTTATCGTTCACCTGGCAATTTGTTCTGAGCACTTTCCGAGTGGTGAATCATGGAATATATTATAGTAAGTGCGATATGACTACGCCGAAGGGCTGAAGCTGTTTATTTCGCTTTTAGAAAAAGTTGAAGAAAAAACAGATTCCCGGAACTTTCCCATCTTAGCCCTAAAACCCACAAAGAGGATTGCCCGTTATCTTATCAGCCCAATTCCGTAATCCGAAGAATCTATTCAACGGGTGGACTAGAGCAGTCCACGAATAGCACAGATGTACCGTCCTAGCTCGAAAGTGCGCGGCGAAGGCGTTTGGTTTTACAGAATTCGCATTTGCCGACTAATCTTAGCATCTGGACGGGATTCTTTACTTTTCCTATCATGCAACGTAAATTATGATGCAGCGGATAAGACAAGATAGATATGATAAATGCATTGCGTTGATGCGACTTTGTTCAAAGAACACGTCCAGAGCACGCCCTTTCCTCGCCCCCGTTATACCGCTGCTACCTCACCAATTCTATCTGGCGCTGTTGCTTT